CAGTGCTACAATCAGGTAAGTTGAGATACTGAGAAGGAATGATAAAGATGCATCACCCAGCATAAGAAGGACTAACTTCAAAACGACTTTGCTGGCATGCAGTGCTTATCTACCTTGCGGACTGACCTCATTCTGGTCACTGCGTCTGCGTTTTAGGAATATAAGCTTCCTGTGCTGGATTAGGCCAAGGGTCCATCTAGTCTCATACTCTGTTCCTCAGCAGTGGGGAACCAGATGCCCCTAGGAGCTTCACAGATAGGCAGCTGTTACCTGTTGATTGCCCACCGTTTTTGATGCACCGTTATTTAGTTAAAGGCTCGAAATGTGGAGATGACATTCAGCTAGCATGGCAAATAGCTGTCAACCGGCTTTTAAAGCTAAAAATCAGCTCTCCCTCTCTTGCTCTGTTGAATTTGTTACTTACATATTTGCATAGTGTGAAGCAGGGGTCGTTTCGTAGAAAAAGAGCTAGGGGGATTCATTAGCATAACTCATTAACATATGCCACACTCCCTGACATCACCGGAAGTGTGTCATAAGGCCACACCCCCTGACATCACCAGAAGTGTATCATAAGGCCACACACCCCACCCCCAACAGTCCTGGCCGCCACCGGCGGCCTTGCAGCTCCACTGCCGAGCCCCATGAGGGGCCCGGCGGTGGACCTGCAAGGCCGGAGGGAGTGCAAGGAAGCCCCGCGAAGGCCCTCCCTGGCCCCAGGCAGGCAGGGGTGGGGAGAGGAAGGGAGGAAGCAACTTACCCTCCCTCTTCTCCTGCCTCCTCCTGGCTGAATGAGGGCTGGAAGCGGGGCGGCCGGAAGCGGGGGGCAGGGCTTCGTCATGTGCCCCACCCCCTGTACCTCACCCGCGGTAACTGCGATCCCTCACGAAATGACCTCTGGTGTGAAGCCAGACTTTCCTTCGTTAGTCATGTGTGAAGCAATTGCCAGTCAATGCCAGAGAACGACCCCAGGTTCTGAAATTATGAGGGGGGGGGATGATTTCTCTGTTCATAGTTTCCCTGCATCTGATATTTGTAGGGTTGCCAGCTCAGAGTTGGGAAATATCTGGGGACTTTGAGGGTGGACTCTGAGGGCACGATTGGGGGAGGGGTGGGACTTTAGTAGGTTATAATGCCACAGAGTCCACCTTCCAAAGCAGCCATTTTCTCCAGGTGAACTGATCTCTGTCACCTGGAGATCAGTTGTAGTCCCAAGAGTTCTCCAATCGCCATCTGGAGGTTGGCAAACCAAGGTATCTGAATGAGGTACAGCAATGCATTGATTAGTTGTTGTAGATTTTCCGAGCTGTATGGCCGTGGTCTTGGCATTGTAGGACCTGACGTTTCACCAGGTCCAGGAACTGGCATCCTCAGAGGTATAACACAGAAAGATGGAGTACTGTCTGTGTCGAGGTGAAAAGACAAATGGTAGGCAGGTAATGCATTGATTGTATCACATTGATGATGTTGAATGCTTGTTTATTCTGCTTTTCTTCCACAGGAGCCTGTTAAAAAAAAAATCACACGACTTCCAGTCTCTGTGTCTTGAAACTGTCCCTTCACTTCCATAGTTTGGATTAGTGTTTCTTCTCAAACATTTAAGTGCTGGGTTTTCTTTTTGCACTTGGGTGCAAGACACAATTGTTAAACTCTTAAAGGACTATATTGATATTTGTCAATAAACGTTTTTAAGTAATCTTTTGAGTGTGCTTCCTTGAGCTGTGTTACCTCTGTGGGAAGTAGGGTTGCTAACTCCAGGCTGGGAAATGATGACTGATCAAATAATCGTCATAAAGAATAAATGAACGGCTGGGGGATTTGAGGGTGGACCCTTGAGGAGGGGAGGGGCCTCGACATGATATAATGCCATAGACTCCACCCCCAAAAGCAGCCATTTTCTCCAGGGGAAGGGATCTCTGTTGTCTGGAGATTCTGTTATAATTCTGGGAGAACTCCAGGCACCACCTGGAGGTTGGCAACCCTACTGGGGAATTTTGGAGTTTTTTGTTGTTTTTTTTCATTTGATGTGCTCTTTCCCATACAGAGGCCAGAACTATCTATTTTTATTTAATCACTCTTCTCTTTTCTCAGCCATGGAGACCTAAAGTAGCTTATGGCAGCATTCTCCCCTACGCTATTTTATGTTCACAAATGGTGAGGGAAGAGTGACTAGGCCAAGGTCACCCAGTGAACTTCCCTGACAGAGTGGGGGGATTTGAACCTGGATCTCTGATCCTAGCCCTGCACTTAAACCACACCACGCTGGCTGACAAAGAACATCAGGCTGCCTCAAAGATAGGAGGCCCCATTTTGAGGACTGTCCTGTCTTTCTCCAGTGTTCCCTGTGTCGTCATGTGTGTTGCAGCCAGGGCTATTTTTGGGCAGGAACGCACAGGAACGGAGTTCCGGCTGGCTCCCGAGTTGGCCACGCCCAGCAGG